ATGTTAGGTGTGATATGCACAAGTTGTTCTGAAATAAATGTGATGTTTGATCAGGTAAAACTGCTTTTTCTCTACTGTTTTTAAGCTGTTAAATGGATACTTCAGAAAGGGGGAAATTGTAGCATTTAGATCTTAGATAAACAGAATTATTAAGTTATGACATGAGCTGTAGAAATGTATTTAATTTATGATTGGATCAAGAATACATTAATGTAAAACAATTGTTTACAGTCATAGAATACTATTCTGCCATGACACTTTTCATCCAATAAATTCCTCAAATATTTGCTTGGAATAAGTGATAAGAGTATAATGAATATATTATTTAAAGATTTGTCAAATATCAGTGCTCTGTGTGCGTACATGTGTAACATACACATATACAATATGTTTTTCATTTATAAAGAAAAGACAGTTTGAATCATGTCCAGTTCTGTATTTTCTTATATAGATTTTTAAAAAGGCATTTAATGTGTTAAATGGAAAATATAAAGCAAAAATGAAGGTCATACTGATTTAGCACATCAAACAGTCTTTGTCAGCCAAGCTTAATATATCCTGAGTTTGTGGAACAAATGAAATTTTGCTGCTGTGTTACACTTTGCTTCCAAACAACCATTACAACTGGTTTTATATATTGTGTGAGCATCAGACCATCAAACAGTGCATCTTTACTGACGTGTTGCTGCAGTGATGATCTACAGCAGCAATCTGCCATTTATATAAGGGCAAAATGTGCATCTATATTTAGTTGTGAAATTGGCCTATTATACTCTTGATGTTTACAGAGGCTAACATAAATTAATGATGACAGCTATGAGCAGTGCATTAGTTAAGCAGCAGAGTTCTTACCTTGAACTTGAAGGTTCCAGCTTTAACTTCTAGCATATACTAGGCAGCTTTCTTCACACATTACAGAAAAGCTTCTGAAACCATTACCTTTTCTTGGGCAGGATTAAAGAACTTCATTTTGTGGTCTGTGCCACTTTAGATAATAACAGGTAATAATTTTATTTACAAATATATCTAAATGTTCCTAGTGAGAAAATGAATATTTATGCTATGAGGAAACAAATAATTCCCTCCCCCAACACACATGCGCGCGCGCGCACGCACACACACACACACACTAATGTATTGGTGTAAATTGCCTAATTTTAGTTTGAAGTTTGTCCAATAAGTAATTTCCACCACAGAGTTTGGTGTAGTTTTATTGGATTTTATGTTGCTTTTTAAGTTGAACCCACAAATATTTTCATGCAGTTCATGTCAGGAATAGTGTAGATTCTGTAACAACTATAGATTCCACTGTTAACTATGACCAGAGATCTGACAAGTATGCAGGTGTTCAAAGGTTTGTGAGTTAAGATGATGAAGTCTTTGATGAATTTTTAATAGTTGAATTTTTAATATAGCCTGGCCGTGTTTCTTTGAGTCTGTATTTCAGATTAATTGATAAATTTTAGAATGGTGCAGCCCTAGATTCTCCTAAGCAAACAAGTAGGGGAAAAATCTATAAAAATATGCCAGGTTAGCTTCTCCTCAGATCTTAGGGGTTGCTTCTTTAAAAGAGAATTATGAAAGGCTTTTAACATTACTTCTTTTCAATGAAAAGCTGCTTTATTCATTAAAAACACTTTTATTAAACAGAAATATTGTTTCAACAGTTTCTGAATTCCTGAGTTCTTACAGCACCCGCAAGTCTAAAGGGATTGTGAATTCTCTTTCCTTGGAGAAAATCTGGAACATTACAGCAAAAAATAACAAGAGTCCTGTAATTTTCTGTTGATACCATAAAGAGTTCATGACCAGAACTAAAAATCCCTCAAACTGATCCAATAACTTCAAATTGCCCAAATACAAAGCACAAAACTATGGCAATGGGACAGGCCTCCGAACAGCCCCTGAAGAATTAATGGCCTTAGAAACTACAATATCACCATTTGTCAGTCTCCTCCTACAAAGCATCTTCCCTCACCTTTCCAAGCTGCCATGGGCTTGCAAATGATAGTCACTGGTCACTGGTGCATTTCCAGTCCATTTCTCTTCTATTAGACCTAGGAATACCACTGTGGAAATTTAGATGCTATAGTGGTAGGAGCAATTACACCTGCTAAATAAAAATGAGAGAATGTAACCTCATGGGTAAAAGGTCACATATGGCATATTTTTTGTCATTGACCCACTGATCCAACTTGCATATCCTTTCAGAGGGTTTGGATACTCTTTCTATAAAACACAGGCACTATGGGTAGTTTCCAAATAGGCTGTTGTGCTCGCACCTGTTCCCTTGTACAAGTGGCACCACCACTTGTTCAACAGGTATTTAGTGCTTCACAGAGCAGACATGAGTGGAAACACTCATTTCTGGAGAGTGAAATGTTGGCAGAGCTTGGTTATATGAGTTTTGCTGATTGCCCTATTTCTTGTCCTGATCTGAAGTGCTAAATTCCTATTGCACTCGTTATGGATTCAGCTGGCCCTTTGACAGCATTGGTTGCTGCCCATTATCTCAAAGGATGCAATGGACTAGCATTATTTGAAAGTATTTGAGCATTATTTTGAGCATTAATGATAAAATACTATTAGAGAAGCCTTGAGAATAATCAGGAGATGCCTTCATAACTACACCTGACTTTCCTGATCTCTGTCCACTTTGACTGCCTTTTATACTCTCCTGTTCCACCTGACAAAAGGCAGATTTTGGAAAGGAGGAGAGTCAGGCAGTTATCATTGGCACTGCAAAAGAAAGCACAGCACTATAGTGACTGCCCTTTACAGTTTCTTGGACCTGGCTACCCCCACATGAGGCAGCACAAAGCTTTTCTGCTGTTTAATGCTAACTAATGTAAAGGGGTACTAGAGCAATGCACAAGCTGTGTCATTCTCAATGGCTGATGCCATCCTAGCATAGTTGCAACAACCTTTCAGCCCCTAGCACATTATTGTATGCCTATAGCCCTCCAAACCAATCCCTATTTATTACAAGTACAATACAGTCACTTCAAAATACTTTTTGTAAGATTATAATATGGAATGATGACACTTGATATTTCAGGAAATTACAGGACTGTTTGAATTTTCTCCAAATGAAATGTTAAATAAAATGTGTTTTTTTACATAGTGACATGTAAATGTTAACACAATTGTTATATAACAAATGGTTTTAGTATGAACCCATTTCTGCTGTATACCTGTCACTTGCTGGAAGAACAAAAATGCTGGTTTATTAGGTCTCTGTATAAGAATGGTGTAGTACACAAGCAAGACATCAAAAGTTGAAGCAGTTTTTACATACAGAAATGAGAATTTATCATAGAAACTGGCAGCACAGTCAATGCATAGTCTTTCAATGAGATCAATGAAACCATTTGCTCTCTGACTGTGGGCAAGAGTAATGTGTGGTTCTGTGGAAGATATGCAATAGATATGCAAGGAGCATATGTTACTCTCCCTGTGTGAATAATGTAGTAGTGCCCATGTTGGCAAGATGACAGAAGGACCAGGGAAGACCCTGTTGGGCCCATTCCGCTCCCTGTTTCACTGATCCATGCATTGTGACCTATATTTAAATTTTAAAGCAAGATTTTTAACTGTATCCTCTGGGGTGAAAATGAAGGCCTTCACATTTTTTAAAACCCTTTTTAAGCCTTTTTATTTAAACACCATTTTAAAAATTAGTAATTTTAGTAGTTTAACAGTTGCTTTGATTTATTGATTTATTGGTTATATACTATTTATTGGTTATATACTATTTTACTGTATTGTTTACTGGTTGTTTTTATTGGTTATTGATTTTAATGCTGTAAGCTGTCCTGAGACATTCTCATAAAGGATGGCATACATATGTTTTAAATAAATAAATAAATAAATTTCATCCTGCATATTTTTCACATTCTCTGCATGCATCAATCAGTTTATGAAACTGTAAATCAAAACATATAATATACTCTCATAATAAAAAGCACTGAACATAACATTAATTTGAAGGGCATTTTGTGTCTTGAGGAGGATCAGTTTGTTTAGAACCTGGATTGCAGTAGTGAATTGTACAGTTTATTATGGTAACAGACCAATACCAGTTTTTATACAAAATAAAGATACAACAAGTTAAGAGTAGTTAGATAAAAAAATAATCAAATTTGTGTGGGTGTTAGATAGTCAAGATATAAAGGAGGTTGAAAAATGAAAGAGAAAGAACTTCCAAGGAGCATTAGTTTATTTCTAAATGAGCTACTGGGCTGGATGCAAAGGTTACTTTCCTTTGGCAGATGGAGCATCCAACCAGTGGATGTCTACTTTAACTGGAGTAAAGGGGATCTCTTTATCCTACCCATTATAATAGAAACATATTATAATAGAAACATAGAGAACTGTCATGTACTTTGTTGTGTCATTGGGACGTTTGGCTCAGGATTGTCTACACTGCTGAGCAGTGCTTTTCCAGTTTGACAAGGGGTCTTTCCTTTCCTTCCAGGAAATGTCAGGGACTGAAACTGAGACCTTTTCCATCCAAAGCATGTGCTCTGCGAGCAGCTTAGCTGGGTACTAGACAAAATGCAACATGGCAATATGTTTTCTGTGCTACTTGGAAGTGCTAGCTAGTAGTTATAGTCCAGTTAGGCCAGATTCACACTACAAGCTTACTGCAAGAGCTAGGGAACAAAGAAATGTGAAGCCATTTCTACAACTGTACCATAATTTAAATGATTAATAATAATAGATTATATTACATTCTTCTTGCCAAACAGAACATTGCTTTCTACTGGAATAATTCCCTTCTGCACTTTTCTCTGTTTTACTGGTTGCTGTATTTATTATCTCTAGAAATATTATATCAATAAAGTTTCCCACAAAGATATATGAGCATGAATGGAATGTTTATATTTTGAAAATATGTACAGGGTATTTGCTTAGAAACTAGGAATAAGAAAGAGAACTGGTCAAATCAGACAGAACGTAATACTGATGAGCCACCTGCTCTGTTGTTCTTGTTTCAGTTTACAAGCCTTGAGAAAGGAAAAGTCCCGAGATGCTGCTCGTTCTCGCCGAGGGAAGGAAAATTTTGAGTTCTACGAGTTGGCCAAACTGTTGCCACTTCCTGCAGCTATTACCAGCCAGCTTGACAAGGCATCTATCATCCGATTAACAATTAGTTATTTGAAGATGAGGGACTTTGCTAATCAGGGGGATCCTCCATGGAACTTGCGAATGGAAGGACCACCACCCAACACATCAGTAAAAGGTATGGGGTTGGATGGTCATAGTGTATGCAATGTGGCAGCCAATTCTAATCTCTAAACTGAAATGTTTACCATCCTTTCTTTTTTCCCTGCATATCAAATCCTTTAAAGGGATACAAATGTGGAAAACTGAGGTCTGCATGAGAAAGACACCATGTGAAGGTGAAATAAACCTCTTATTCTATATTTATTTTATTTTTAAAAAACATCTCAGTACAACTATTGTACTGAAAAAAAATGAAATTACGTGTATATTTTTCATGAGTTAGGCCACAATTCAGCACAGAGTTTAGTGCCTTTAAACCCACTGAAATCAGTGAGCTTAAGCATGCTTAATACTGTGTTGGACTGTAGCCCTGAAGTGCAATCCCTATGCATGTTAATTTAAAAGCAATCCCTACTGTGTTCAAAGAGGATTTCTCCTAAGTGTACATAGAGCTGTTGCCTTAGAGTTTTTCTGTTTGCTCAATAGAAAACATGCTTCTGACTGAAGAATTGTAAACTTCCTTAGTGAGAAGAGGAACAATACAATTGTTGAATTCTATGTAGAAATACTGGAGTTATTGTTAATTGTTATGCTTTCATTCTGTTTATAGTTTTATAATTCACCAGATATGAAAGTAATTTCTCACAAGTAGGGCCTACTGTTATTTATTTATTTTCATTTGCATGCCACCCCATAGCCTGAACCTCTGGGCAACTCACAATGAGGGTAAAAACAGTCAATATAAGTAGATAAAACCATAAATAGAATAAAACTATAAAATCCAGTATGCAACATAAAATCCAAGAATTTAAGAGTTAAAGGCTCGAGATAATTGAGCATAAATGTCAGTTTACTCTGACTTGGGGGTTGTATGCAGCAGTGTCCTTCCACCAGTGGAATAGGCACCACCAATGGATGGATGGATGGATGGATCTCTCTCTCTCTCCTGCAGCCTATTGTATCCCTCACCTCAAATCTGCTCCAGAGTTGGGGATCCTCCAGAACAGATTTTTGGGGTTTGCAGACACATGGCAATTCCATGAGTGGAAGTCATTTTCAATAGCACTGTATTTAGCTGAAGCATTACAAAGGACCATGCATTACTGTGTGTATATGTCACTTACGTTAAGGTATTGGAGGCCAACATTTATAGTTCAGAGATTAGATAATTAATTCTTTTCCATTGTATGTATAAACTTTTATGAACACTTTTATCAGTGTTCAGCTGCTTATAACTACTCAACTATAGTCAAAAAGTTCACATTGTTGAACTAATGAAACCTGCATTAAATGTGCTAAAGCCTCCACGCAGACCTGTAGTGGATATAGGAAATTTTCATTATTATTGCTTTAATGCAATGGTTCAGCCCAATTTCTGCTCCTAATTTTCCACCTAAAACCTGCCATCAAAGTGGCATTTAAACACAAAACAATTAACTAGTTTCCTGCATTGCAGTGGAGGTGAAAAGGCACTGGAAGTTGGAAAAGTTTGGGAAAAGTTCAAAGTACATGTTGATTTTTCTTGGATCAGAGTATATCGTGATATAAAGCTTAAAGAAGGGCTCCCCATCAAAAGCTTTTTGACTAGTCCATTGGACTAATATATACAGCAGAAGGTTCCTACATTAATTTTTAGAAGAGATATTTCCTAGTCATGTCTTCATTTTTGAAGCAAAGAGGGTATACAATGGATTTCAAGAGTGGTATATTTCTGTGCTTGGATTAGAAAAAGTTACAGTGGACATGACAGAAATTAGGTTTAATTGAGAGAACCAGTAAGATATGATGATCAATGGAAACAAATACTGTAGGAAGGACAGAGAAGGACACAATATAACTCAAAATGGTATTGCACTGTATAGCAAACAAACTAGAAATTCAGAAGGTACAGGCCTGTCTACAGAACTTCAGTGGTTAGCAACACCAGGCACCAACAGTAACTTAATACTAGGGAAATACTGTCACCACTTGACCAAACTTTTCAGGTTGGTCTTGAGATGAACATGAAAATCAGGGAGGCAACAAAAGGAGAACATGGAAAGATGCCTGTTAGGTCACAGCAGGGAGATGCAACATCTAAATACCCTAAAAACCATAACCTAGTACAGTTTTGTATGGGATTGACCAGAGGGGAAGTGATATAGAATTTTATCCTCAGTTATTGTGGGATGTGATGTGTGGCTGAACCATTTGGAAAGTTTGGGCATAGCATGGCCATCTTGCGCCTGTATGTATGTATGTATGGAATTTTCAAGGGAGTCCAACATGATTGTATTTGACTTCAGAACAGGAAACCTCTAAAAATTAGAAGATTGGTAAAAAGGAATTTGAGAAGGAAACCCAGTAAACAAAAATCTCTCCAGAATGTGTAAGCTATTCAAAATCACAACAATAGAATCTAAGGTAAAATCTATGTCATAGAGCAGGAAAGTAACTTCCAACAGGACTGAAGCATAGTTAACTAATGTAGTCAAGTGAACTATTGACTTCAAAAGATTTAGACTTTCCTGAACTGACATTTTCAGGAAGGCTATTTAAACCACAGTTAATGCAAAATAATAAAATAACATGCAAGATTGGGCTGAACAGTGGACTTGGTTGTATGAATTGAACTATTTTTGATGATGCTTTGCTCTATTCCATGGGATTTCATATATGCACTAAGAGAGTCTCTCTCCATCTTAACTTCTGTTGCCTTCAATACACACACACACACACACATGTGGAATTTCCAATTGACAGGTATAGATCCATGAGCATTAACTGCATTATTTTGTTCCTGGAAGTCTTCTGGACAATTTTAAAAGATTTGAAATAGCAAAACACATTCTACTAAATTATTCTGGGAAAAGGTATTTTTATTGTATGTGTGAATCTGCTACATGTAGAATCAGTTCATCAGTATGTTTTTCCCCTTTGTTTATTAGGTTTCTCTGTTTATAAAACTGTTAAATATTTTTGAAATTTTATCAAATGAATGTAATTCTCATTTATTAAGGTATTAGTTTTTGTCATTTGTATGGGTAGATAGTTTTAAATAAATAGTCTTCATCAGTATAACAAACATGGCTTCTAATCCTGCAATAAAATGACTAGATACTGTATATTGGGTCACCCCAATCAGTCTCCTAAAGGCATTTGGAAAATGTATGAGAAATACTTACAGAGTATAAACTATAGGTATTAGTAAAAATGAGATGGCCTGTTAATAATTCTTTATAGAAGCTTACTTTTGAATTTGTCCTGGGTGATTGTACAGCAATTTAATCATTTTAATTTAGAGCTTCAGAAAGGTCTTTTACTCTGTCCTGTCTATAAAGGGTGATGAATTTGTTTTCTTATGCATGTTTTGTATGGATTATTCTGAGTTGTGCTTGCAGAAACAACATTCAGGTGATGGTGTGCAATATTTCCTAAGTCAATTACTTCATGGAAATGATATGTTAAACAACTGCAAAGCAAGAGATAGTTTTCACCATTATTTTAGAAATACCTATACTGTTACAGATCAAATATACATAATACAAGAAATGACCACACATTCCCAGCAGTGGTTCAGCTAAATAACTGATTATTGTAACCTTTAAAGAAATCTCATTCTTGCAGCTGTTGGTTTAAGTACTTCTCTAATCACAAGAATCTTTGTTTAGAGGATATATAAAAAGTATTTATATCATTTAATCTAAAAAGCAGCAGCCACTCTTATGACATTTAATAAAATGATGTAATTTTTCTAGTATAACCGGTCACTGCATTAAGAATGAATTCCATTCCTGAAATTGTCTTTAAGTCAAATTTGTATGTATGTCGGATCACATATATAAAACACTTTAAAAATACTTCCATATACTTTTAAACATTTTAAACACATTTTAATAAAGATAATAATACAGTAGTACAGGTACTGAAGAAAGAGAAAGAGAATTTGTATGCATTTGTGAAATGTTATTTCTTGAGCTAACGTTAAGCCTAACATTAATTGGATGATGATGGAGATTGACCTAGTGCTGCAGAATCAGGGTTTGATTGTGCTGTGGGTGGGGGGTTCCCACTTTCTAGTTCCAACCACTGGCGCAGCTTGCCATTTTCCCCCTCCTCCTTTTCTTTCCCTCCTTCCTTCCTCTCCTCACTGCCTGGTGCTTACCACCTGCCACCCGCAGGGGCCCACTTGCCACTTTAGGAGGAGGCAAGACTTCCAAGTTTGCTCATCCATAAGTAGGGGTTGTTCTTAACTCAGACATTTGTAACTGGGGACAGAGTGTATACCAGACTATGGGCCTCCCCCCACCAGCCACCCGCCCACCCACATAATTTTTACTTGAGGAATAAGAGCTACCAAATACAATGCTATGCACATTTTTCAGTAGGTTATTTGAAGAACTAGATTTTCAAGATCAGAATAAAATTGTCTGATGAAGTTTCATGTCAAAGATAATTGGAAAGAAATATTAAATAAAAGGATATCCATTCAATGTATAGGAAATAGAGATCCAATTTAAAGAAAATATTTAGCCTAACAGATGCTTAGGACAAACTGTTTCTATCAACACAACTGTTGGAAGATCTGTAATTATAATTCTGTAGTCTGTTATATTCCAAACCGTGTCTGGAAGATGCGCACGCGCTCGCGCTCTCTCTCTCTCTCTCTCTCGCTCTCGCTCTCGCTCTCTCTCTCATATATCTATCTATAATCTACCTATGTATCTGTGTGTATAATGTGATTTTCCAGTTTTGTCATAAACCTGGTATTGTAAGCATATCTTCATATAATATTTCGACTACAAATGTTGCCAAATTCTGGATGAATCTGGAATTTAGCTATGGATTTGGATGGTCTGGATAATGGCATGGGATTTGGAAGAAGGCAGATTCTACCATAGAGTTCAATGTATTGATCCATCTTTTAGGATCACACAGTATGTCAGGTCACAGCCATGGGTCTCTTCAGAGGTGTCTGGGTCATGGCCTGCTTAGCAGTGTAGCACATGATAGGCTTTGGAAGATGTAGGATCTGCCAAAACCTATGCTAAAGGGAAGACCTTAGCAACAGCTCAGGAGAATTAGGCAGGGATCAGGAACTCTGCAGTTTAGTGAATACAGGCTGAAGTAAGAGTAGAAGCCCCTAAGCCCTGATTTGCACCAGTAATATTATCAGTGAGCAGAGTACCTAGTGACT